CTGCCCTGGCTTTTTTATAATCAAGTAAAAATATTGGTAAAAAGATCAGTGTAGAATGTCATAAAGTCCAGTGACAGATTTATATTTCATTCTATCCCCCTGCTTGTGACACAGACTGGTCGATGGTCCACTGCTGTTTTCCTGTGCAGCCTTTTTTTTGTCCAAAACTGACAAAACCTCCGGAGACTCCTATTTAAATAAGGTCACCAGAAACAACATGTTTTCTTAGCCCCAGTTTGCAGTCTGTCAAAGTTAAGATGCTCACATGACCTCTGGGTGTCACTTCCTGGTGGAACCCCTGACTGTCCACTTGTTGCCTGTCAGTCTCCATCTCCTCACCCTAATCTGTCCATGTCCATTCCTTTCATTTCCCTCTGAAGATAAACCAAAGCATTTTATTTCTCAACCATTGTGTTTTTTTCTTTCTTTCTCTTTGTTACCCGTTTTGTTTGACCTTTTTAAACCACTGTATTCTCCGCCATCTCACCACAGCAGTGAGAGAAAGACAAATAAAGAGTTATTGGCAAAGCAAGCAATATCAAACAGTATCTTCACTTCAGAACACTTGAAAACCTGCTGCTGCGCTATCACAACCGGAGAAAAAAAAAAAAAACGAGAGCTTTGCCTCCCAATAAAACATCAATTTACACTGGAGGTGTGATGCAGCGAGACTCCCTGATGGCACTGTTCAGCACAAGCCTGCAAGAGTGTGTAGGAGTAACAAATCTGAACTGCATCATTAACAGCAAACATAAAAAAAAATCTCTTATCCTCTTCTCCTTGTCCTCAGAGAACTCTTTTGATGCAAGCTAGCACCTCCACGGTGCAGCGCTGCTGATTAAATATAGTTGAAGAGGACTTGAGACTGCAGACGAATTAAAAAGAAAGGGCTGATCATTCCAAACATTTGATCATCATGAGAGTGTAAAAAAAAGCCCAGTCTAGAACAGAAGAGATGAAACAGAAAGGATGCCATGGAGATGTTTAACTAACCGCCAGACATTTTAATAAGCTCACAAAGAAGACGCCAACGACATGAAAATAAATGAACACCACAGTAGGTCTACAGGATATTCTCATTGGAAATGCTGTTTAAAAATGTGATGTATTTTTCCTTTTGGCACTATCACAGACGGACTGCCTCCGGTACGACCATCATACCGTCCTCCTACACTGCATTCGTTCAATGTTTTTTTTTCTTCTCCTTGGTCCAGTATATACATTATTCCTCCTCATTAAAAGTCTAAACCATGTTGACCCAATCACTGCTCGCTCCAGTTCAACAGCTACATTAATTAGCGGTTAGCATTAGCAGCACAGACAAGACTTGTATGGTGAATGAAGAAGATCTATTTCAGTAGGAACACTTCTGTTTTTCAGTTAACTACAGTAGCTGTGGAGCAGGGAAACTGAACAGAGCCTCACCCTGCAACACCAGCATACCACATGGGTGTACTGGCCAGAAGATGCTAGAACCCAAACAAAAATCCTAACACTTTAGCAACACCCAAACTGCTTAAAGAGAAACTGGTCGGTCACTGACTCAGCCAACAGGAAGGAAGTGAACAGACTGTCCTCCGTGAGAATGCTCAGTTCTTTTAATATGCACACAAGGCTGTGATGAATGTTCTAGCAGTCTGTGGTGACCACTTTAATCTCCGTTCCTCTCTGTTGCTGACTCACAGAACTGTGTTGCAGCATCGGGCTGAAAAAAAAAAGAACTGGCAAGAACGACCAGGTCTGTGTTGGGAATGGTCAATGACAGAGAAGAAACTGGAAGTGAAAGTGAAAGCCATCATTGACATTGACGTGCATTCTGTGCTGAAGTGGTGAAATCCCTTAAACACACGGTGAAGAAACCAAGAAGCTGCACAGAAATGATCCATACATGCTGTGAAAGTTCAATAAAACATCTCAGTTTGTTTTCTTCTTTTCTTTGTAATTTAATTAGCCTTAATCTCCTTCTATCCCGTTGAATT